AAATCGTTTTTGAATTTATTACCACTTCCCGAGTCCACATCGATTTTCCCCAATTCTTTTCTTTATCTTCTGTATTTCTACTTTGTCCATTGGCTCATATATATTTCTCAGTGCAATGTTATTTACGAGCTTAGAAGCCATAAACGAGCGCAGCCTCCCTCCAGATGTTTCGAGGAGAGATTTCTGGATTTTGACGAGTAAAAGCTGACAAAATACTCCTACTATACTGCATATGTGCAATGAAGTTTCTCCACTGTCAGTCGACCTCCTCAAGTGCTCTGCAGATGTTTTTCTTGCCTTTGCTTTATGGAATAAAGCTCAGTCCACTATCACCGATAGATGACCATAAAACTTCTTTTTCTCACAACTGTTGGTCTCCAGCTCTCAAAATCTGGTTGTGTAGCACTTTTCTTTTTCTCTACAGTATGAGTACCATATTAGTTTTTTCTCCGCAGCCCTGAAATCTGATGTTTTATGTTTCAGTTCTCAGTCTTTCTGTATCTCTCGATAGAATCTAAAAAATTTGTGGCGCCACTGTTCCTGTAGTGTCTCGTGCGCTTTGTTCGACTCAAGAAAATCCAAGGGAGGCTATTTGAATTTCGTGCCATATCGTAACGATATCCGCAGCAGATCTCCAAGGTAAACAGCCTTTAGTCAACAGAATAATGTAGGTAAGGGAAGTCGGCAAATTTAATCCGTAACTTCTGGAAAAGGATTATTTCGAATTAATTTCACGAATTCTGGCCCAAACAACTCATCGTGGTGTCCGAAAGTAATGTCGAGAAACAATAGTCAATAAGTGGACCGTCGCAGGTCTTCGAATAGTTCGGGTCACAAGCAGCTTGACCAGTGCTAGTAAAGTAAAGGTCGTGCAATGATGCATGAATTATGCAACTATTTTTCTTCACAACTATAACTTTTTTTTCCCATCTCCTCTCTGCTAGACACAAAACTGGAAGTGCGGCCGAAATTCAACTGATCGGATCGGCGTACCGCAAAAAAAGCGATTTAGGCTTCATTAAACATTAGCAAGTGATG